TTCAACATATTACCACATTTGTGATGGATAACATGAAATAATCCTATAATAGAGGGAATAACACAAAGTTTCCTTGCAGATGAAATATTGTGGCCTGAAGAGTCTAAGTAAATATTATTACAGGTAAGGTTAGCACGCCGGTCACGGTAACCGAGCAGTCTAAGGCATGCACCGTCTTCGCTCGCTCGGAAGCCGGGATCGTGGGTTCGAATCCCACTCAGGGCATGGACGTTTGTGGCGTTTTTCTGTGTTTGTCTACAGGTAGAGGCCTTGCGACGAGCTGATCACTTGCCCAAGGAGTCCTACCGTATGTAAGATCTAGTAAACCGAAGTGAAACGGAGAGTTTCATGGAGGTAGGCTTAGGCCCAAATTGGGGCTGTAGTACCACAGGAAAAAAAAAAAGGGGTTAGCACAGGCACAAGTAGAGAACTGAATGTTATATTAACTATAATGCAATGGCACACTGCAGGTACAGTTAACACCGATATGGTTTTACAGCATTTAAGAACAAGTAAACATCTCTACCAAATGGGTTGACATAGCGGTAACATTCTAGACCTGTGTTTAGGAGGTGCTCAATTTGAATTCAGCCAGGATACCAGCTGTTCTGACTGAGGTTTTTCATAATTTTGCTCAATTCGTTGNTGCATGCAGTTTTGAACTTAGATACCATTCAGATTTCATTTAATAGACAAGGAATAATAAATGAAACGGTACCATATTTACACAGATAATTTGGCCACTTTTAAATTAATTTTGTGTATTTTCACAGTGCATATGTGTTTTGTTTCACTGTAATTGTTTCTTCACATGAAGGTTAAATTATGAATTTCCTAAAAAATACCATTGTATAGAAAAATTTATAATGACAAGATATTATAGAGTTCATGACTATGTGTTGCTTATTATTTGGAAAAGAAAATCAGTATTATTTATGTTTAATGAAATATGGAGGAAAATTATTTATCCCTCAGTGTGTTGTGATGTCTGTACTAATTTTTGGCTTTATGAATGGTAGAATCTAGGCTTTGCATCATGTGTATTGTGTATCAGAGATAAATTGGTATCTGCAATGAATGAATATCAAAATAGTAAAGAATACACGTGCAAACTTTTATATACCCCAAGCCACTTCCCTTTTACTTCATAAATAAGACCTGCATGAAATGTTAAAGATAGTTTGTTATATTGATAATTCACAGTGGCAGTAAATAGATACTCAGTGCTGCAGAATGCAGTCATTATTACATATTAGAGTATTCACACCTTTCATGTGTGTATTTCCTTGCATCTTTATCAGTGGTATAAAACTCAGTTATTTTGCTCTAATGACATCAGGTAGCTGTAAAAGTAAAGCTTTTATGTCAGTTTCATACTTCAGGGCTTAAAGTATTGACACACAGAGATATAAATTTACTCCAAAGTGTAGCAGGTATGTATGGTAGCCATAGCTGTTAACACAATACGCAAATATTGCAGTAGAGGTTCTGGTTGTATTTTAAATTCCCATTGCCTCTATTTTTTAATTACTTAAGTAAATTTTCATTTTTAAATTGAAGTGTTATTTCTTCTTCAAATTTTCAGCCACTGTAGGCTGTATTAAGATATTGGCAAGTAAACAGCCGTATCTAGACAAAGAACAGGCATTCCTGCTTGCCACCGGTAACTAGATATTTATTCCATTTCATCATGGCTCATCCTATTAAATATAGGTTTTACCAATGTTGCCTCTGTCAGACTGATAAGAGTGAGGATGTGAGCCACATTGTAAATGGC